AGATAATGAACAGTATTCAAGCTCAAATTCCATTCTAGGTCCATTTTAATTCCATTTTAGGTCTAAAGTGTCTGCCATTCTGAAGGTTCATTATTCCGAAAGTCCAAAGAGTCCGCTACTTTAAAGTTTATAGGGTAAATAAAATGCAATTTAATTATCTAATTTATTAAAAACGTAGCTATAGCAAGTGTTCATGCTCCTTAATTAGTTAACACCTACGAGAAAAAGGGGGTTACCCATTAATTTGTCATTAATTATTATGAGTAGTGTCGTGTCGCCCGTTTGGGTGACTGCACTAAAAAAAATAGTCATGTTGCAGATTTTATTTGGTAAAATGAAATATGCCAAAAAGGACAGTAGCCTCACCAGAGCACTATTTGCTGGTGTTGTTGAAATTTTCACGATCGGGTACCAGTGGTCAGTTACCACTTCTGTGAAAAAAATTACAAGATTCACCCCTCAAGGTTTTATGTCTACTGTATTATACAAAATAAATAAACATCGGGATCCCCTGCCCCAGCATCTAAAAACTTTCAGGGTGGAGTACAAGCACAGAATTTGAAGTTTGTTTTCATATTGATTTTCCCACACTGTCACATGTTTGCTGTGAAAAGAGAGGAAGGGGTCATAAATCCTCTCCTGTAGAATATTACTTAGATCTGTAAAAATCTAAATAATCATTAAGTATCTTTCTTTAAATTTCATAAAAGTATATTTATATATGCATTTACAGACCTAAAACATACGGTATTGCATGTAAATAATGATCAAATTTGCCTCCCCCCCCCCCAAAAAAAAAGAACAAAATTTATTTTAAAAAAAAACCTAGGCGTTATTACTTTTCAATAAAACTGAATAAGATTCTAGGCAATTATTGTTATGAAATAAAATTTTCAAAAGTACAAACATACATGTTTGAATCATACTTTTACATGAATATGCAGATAACGAACAATATTCAAGCTCAAAGATCATTAAAACAATACAAATCGGGAGCAGAGCAAACAAGGACCCCCAAAAACATCAGAGGTGGAATCAGAAAGGAGTGAGTATCTCCTGCCGACCGGTCACACCTGCCGTGTGCTTCATGTCATAATCGGAAAAACAGAAAATCCGTGGACAATTCGGTGTAAAAATAATGGCCTAACAATAAGTATGAAAAACGCCAGACAGCTTGCCAAATGATTACTTCAAATGAAACTGTTGATATCCTAGTTTCATCAACTTGTTTGTTAGCAGCCTGTCTCGTTTTAGAAATTGTTCATACGCAGAGCATACTCTTGCATGTCGAATCCACTGGGAGACAAAAACCCCATAAAGAGGTGATAAGGGTATTTTGCTACATAAGTAAGGGAAGATAACGATTGAAAAGTTAAAGTCATCACGTTTATCATAAAGCTTTGATGTTAGGTTACCATTAATGTCTTTTTCTAGTAAAATATCCAAATATGAAACAGATGTGTCAGACTCTGTGATATCTTTTATGTCAAGCTCACTGGGATATATCGAGTCGACATATGAAGTGAAGTAACTATTCTTAATTGATAATACGTCGTCGATATATCTAAATGTCGAGTTTAAGGCCATAGCAAGTGTTTTCTTCTTCTCATGTAGAAGTTTTTGAATAAATTCTGCTTCATATGAATACAAACACAGGTCTGCTAATAAGTGGGCTTAATTGGTGCTAATGGAATTTCCAACAGATTGTTGGAAGACCTCATCTCCAAAAACTACATAGATATTGTCAATCAGAAACTCAAGCATCTTTTTAATATCAACTTCAGAGTACTTGTGTGTACAATCAGAATGTTTTTTAACAAAATAATTTTGCAAATGACAAATGACAAGGTAAGTATATTTACAAGTTCCTTTTTTATTGAAAGAGCAATTGTCTAAAATGTCAAAAAGCCTGGACTTTAATTTATTGTGGGGAATGGTTGTATAAAGCTTTGAAAAGTCGTACGTTTTGATGTTATTGATTTTGTTGAAATTTTGTAATTTCAAATTTTCTAAAAGTTCCTTGGAGTTTGTAAGTATCCACATCTGCTTACATCACTTCTCGAATATACAGTACTCCTGAAGTTTCTCCTTCACGACTGTAAATATTTTAGTGAGGAGTATACAAAGAGGCTTGGAAGAACATTTACTGGAACCCGCTATGCATCTTTGTAAGGATTTTTGTGGAGTTTTGAAATTCAGTGTAGGTATGGTAATGCAAATTCATTTTGATTGTTGGGTTATATCTAAATTAAGATATTAAATTAAATATTAAGAATATTTAAAACTGACATATGGTTTTGAAGAATTTCCTCCTTAGAAAGGGAGTTATTGATGGTAGAAGTTGGATTACCACTTGCAGAATTAAATCCTAGTTCCTCTAAAATACAATTGAAATAATGAGCCTTACAAATAAAGACAATATTGTTACCTGCTTTGTCAGCGGCGACCAGTACACGATCGTTTAATCTATCTCATTCTTGTTTCACTTCTGCATTGTCGAAGACAGAAGGATGGATGGTTTTCATATTGCTCCTCAATCGATTATTGCGCGATTTCAACATCCACCTAATACATTTAATTCATTTTGATAAAGTATCAAGGTCTTTTTTTCATGTTTGGCCCATCGTCTGGCGTAATCTTCTAAAGATCGGGGTTCCCTAAACTTTGGTCCTCTTTTAATAAGTGATTTAAGGTCCTCATTATTAACTATATTTACGTCACCATTAATGACGTGTCCAGCAGGGCTATAGTTGTAGCTTGAAGAAGAACATGAACACATTGGAAGATTATGTTTCAGATGCTCGATATCTGAACACTTTACAGTTTTTTTGATAATTAAAAAGTTTTGAAGCAATTATTAATGCATATTTGTAAGAAACACAAGGTGAGGGCTTCAACTTGAAATATGATGGAATACAAGACTGGATCTTTTTGTGATTAATAATATTACTTGTATTAACTGCGTCAATTCCGTTGCTGATATATTGAAGTTTAAGGAACAAACAAGTTGTTTAATAGCAATTACCTATACATTCTCAATAGACTCGATATATCCCAGTGATCTTGAAATAAAAGACAACATAGAGTCTGCAACACGTTTCAAATTTGGATGATTTACAGATTAAAGACGCTTATGACAAATTAACAACTTAACTATATAGCAAACGGAATGATTCAATTTCAGATCAATTTTTGAACCGCTGCAGGGTCCTAACAAATAATTTGATATTGCAAGGCTTTTTAAAATCTCCTTTAAAGTCAACATTTTGCAAATCTATGGTCGTTATGATGACCTTATTTGCAAATACCACCTATCATTGGGTCGTATTTTGGCTGACATGTTTCATACTAATTATAAGGCCATAATTTGTATAATAATTTTCATGACGGATTATTCCGTTTACCTGATCAATACAGAGGGCTCGCAGCGGGTGTAACTGGTCGTCATGGGATGCTTACTCCTCCCAGTCACCTGATGCCACCTCTGCTGTTTCCAGAGGTCCATGTGCTTTTTGTACATGTTGTATTGTGTATACAGGATTGATGAGATTGATCACAGTTCGTTACCTTCACTATTTTCACATGACAGCTATAACACATGTATAAAAGTCATCAACAGCTTTCCTCAACAATGCTTATCAAGCCCTTTCATCGGTCTAAGATTTGTATGAAAAGAAATAGTTTGAGATTTGAGGTTAACAATTTATCTTGGGGAATCAAAAATATTATCTCTAACTTTTATCAGTGTATTCAATAACTATAATTAAGATCGTATCATATTCAGGTTCATGCAAATGAAACTTATCATGGTGATTTTCAATCTACCGATGGCAAGGTGAGAAAAAAAATTTCAGTGACCACGTGTCCCAGTTGACGAGTATGAATAATAATAGTGGCTCCCATGAGAATTTTGTTCGTCCCATTTAAGGCTCACGTTTCGCCATGTATGAAAAGGCCATAGCATGTTTCAGATTTCTTTATCTTAAATTTTAAACATGCGATAATCATTTATTTAGAGTACTAGTCTCTTGTTAAATTTGGAAGAATTCTTGAAATTATCACCAGACGTAGAAAGAAATTTTGTGTTAAGACACATTGCCTTTTTACCGCTTACTCCTCCATGGCACCTGATCCCGCCTCTGATGTTTTTGGAGGTCCGTGTTTGCTCTGATCCCGATTTGTATTGTATAAATGGACTGTGAGCTTGAATATTGTTTGTTTTTCACTTGTCCAGGACTAATGCTTTTTTTCGCACCCTGATCCGATGCATTCAGAAAGTAATTTTTCGAGAGCAACGCCATACACTGATGACTTTAGCATAAATGCACGGTATTTATTTTAGAATATAGAATTATATACATAACGTTTTCTTGTACCGTTGCAAACTGAATGACAAACATAAAATGATACAAAACACACACACACACACCCTTACGCACACACACACCCACCCTCACACACACCCTGACAAACAGTGTGAAGCACACACACACACACACACACACCCTCCCTTACACACACACACACACCCTCACACACACACACACACACACACACACACACACACACACACACACACACACACATATATATATATATATATATATATATATATATATATATATATATATATATATATATATATATATATATATATATATATATATATATACAAGCAATGAAACAAATATCCAGACAATGAGACAGACAAGAGGGCACCGAACAACAGAGACAGACAATGAGATAGGCAGACGATAAACCACACTGAAGCACACACAGACAGACAGACATACATACAAAAACCTAGACATATGTCCTGTTTGAAAAATTTAACAAAGGTGAAGCAGTTTTGATTTTGTATGGACGTGTTTATGGATTAACTGCATATGAAAACTAACGTTTCACCTCACGGAACAAGGTTATATATAATGATTTTCACCTGATGTACTGCCTTAGGGTAAAACGATTGAATCTAATAATATAATTTTTTATGATTACAGATACCTAACAAGGGACCGAGAACACCGTCCACTTTACTCCTACACAAGGTATGAAGCGAATTAAATTTTTATGCAGGTACAGGAAAGTTAAGTGTTTTCAAAGGTATCATTTCAACGAAACATCTGCTACAACTGAGTTAACGTATATACATAACCCAAGATCAATGTCCCGTGCATAGGTTTACATGTGACCTATTGTGTGAAGATCATAAAAAGCGATTGTAGTTGGCTGTGATTTAGTGATATTTTATAAATATTGGAGTTTAAGTTGGTATCTTCATTATTTCAAAAGATTTAGAAAATTGGACGTTGTTTATTTGATGGACTTTCCAGATTCACATTTGAATAATGGATTTAGGCTCACAAATAATAGGGCTATTTTTGCATAATTCCTATAATTCAATCTTCGTTGTACGTTAGCCGTTTACTGTAATAACTATATTGTGTGAAATGTGTGACTGTGGTTTATTGCATTTTTGATTCTAATTGCAGGGGATGTCGATCTTTGACGAAATTTGATTTGGCGAATGTCAGTGTGAATGCTAACACTAAAGGGATTGTGAAAATAAGGAGAGATAACATTAGCAACAGTCTGTCACAGGTGGTTTTCTAGCGGATCATACAACATAATGTTTCCTCAAGGAAATACTTATAAAACGTATGTTTAAAAAATCCAAGTGAAAATCAGTGCAAATAATGAAAGCGGAGGATAGAGAGTCCGTCATTTCGAATGAGGAGAAAAAATGTGTGAAAAAGAATCCAGAAAAAGAATCATGTTATACTTTGGAAACTGACCTTCTCCCTTTCAAACTATTTTACTTCTCCTTTTATGGAGCTCTTGGAGCGGTTTTTCCGTTTATGTCGCTTTATCTGAAGCAATTAGGGTTAAGTCCAAGAGAAATCGGAATCTTGGCTGGAGTGAGGCCGATCTTGGGATTCTGTAGCGGTCCTTTATGGGGATCATTCGCCGATAGATGGCGTATGCGGAGATGCCTTCTTGTGGCCAGTACATTAGGATGGGTCGCATTTATAATGGGAATAGGGTTCGTTACCCCTCCCCGTATATCCGAGGAAAAATGTCGAGACGTTGGACTAAATATTTCTGAATTAGATAATGCGTCTGTTCCATTAAACCTTAATGTGACAATAGAAGAGGCTTCGGCAATTAATTCTGCAGAACTTTTGGAAAGTAGAGGCTGGATGTTTAACTCGGAGGATCTTCAAAGAGTTTTCTTTATTGTCTTTGGGTTGGTGATCTTGGGAGAACTGGTTCAATCCCCCACTTCGTCTCTTGCGGACTCGGGTTGTCTTGAACACCTTGGAAGCGAGAACATGAACAAGTATGGCTTCCAGAGAAGCTGGGGATCACTAGGGTTTGGAGCGCTGTAAGTATCAATCCAACAGAAAAATTACTTCCACTGAATTAAAAAGTCTTTTTGAACTACTTTACTTTACTATTCAACGTTTTTCTAATAAGACCCATTTGTAAAATTTAATGATTATAAAATATGTTCAAACCAACCAGTGTAGAACAAATATTGCATCTGTTGTACTATGACCAGCTTTAAAACCAAATTGACCGTCCGTAATAACGCTATAGTTCTTTGATCAGGTACTCAATCTCTCATTAATTCGGGATGTGAAATTTTTTGATAAACTACTTAAAAGTGTAATACCGATATAATTATTACAGTCATTCAAATTACCCTTTGTTAAAACTGGTGTTATCATATAATACTTCGGACAAGCTTTGAGAAAAAACTCCTGACAAAGACCAATGTTAAATAAATCCACTAAATATACTATGAGATTTAAAAACCATTATATTCAATAAAATATTCATTTAATAGATTGTCCCTCCCGGAAATTTATTTGATAATACGAGTTATCTTCTCTGTAGTACTGGGCTGTTCAATTCAATTCAGGATATGCGGAATTGTCCATTTCAATGGACACCTAGTCACTACCGATTCAAAGAGAATGTCGACTCGAAGAGAGTTCTCCAAACAGTGCTCTCATCTGATAATTCAGTTTTAAACAGTTAATTAAAGTGCTTAGTGCTTGTAAACATGCGACAGTTTCGGTCCATGCGACATGCTTCCTTTCCCTTCCCGAAAAATGCGATAGAATTCTTTTGGGGTTTTCTATTTATTAAGGTATTCCATGCAATCTCCTTGGTTTAACTTTTCTTGCATATCTTTTATAATTTCGCTTAGATGTCCCCCTATTAAAGAATAACGTTGTTTATTTCTTAAATATACATGTATAGGGGACAAAATCAATTTATGTAGTTATATGTTGGATCAACCTGACACATCAGCATTACAGGCCTTTTTTCCCTTTCTTTTTTAAATATCTTTTTTTAGGTTCAAAATAATTTGTTACATGCTGAAATTAGAGTAATTTTATATTTATTCCGGTGTATAGATTTAATTTTTATTTCATTGAATTTCAATATACCAGTAGATATAAAAGTGTATATAGATTTGCGTAAATGAAAGAAAATAAAGCTGGTTTGATATGGAAATTTCGTGATAAATATGTGTTTTAGCAATGATTAAGCCTTTAAAAACTTTTTTAAATACAATTTCTGTAACTTTTTTTTTAAATTTAACTTTATTTTATTTATTCATTTATTTTTTATTTATTTATTTATTTATTTATTTATTTATTTATTTTGAGTATTCTATATCCTAAGCCGACTAGGTGGAATTTGTGTTGTGAACCCAATAAGTGAAATAACTTAAATACATTTTGTAATCTGTATCTCATGCATATTTTTACTTAAATTGGAATATCTAGGGAGGATAAAATGAAAATCATCTTCAGTCTGATGATTGTCACAATAAAACATCACATTCTCAAGATTGTCTTGAATAAATATTCAAACTGTGTGACGGAAGTCTATAATTAAATACTGGAAATTTGTTTCTTTGGCTTACTCTGAATAGGTTTTGTTGAGTATGGTTGCATATGACAAAAATTATAATGTACAAAGTGTTCATATAAAAGAAAAAAGACTTGTTGAGTTGCCCATTAATTTAACACTTTTGAAGATATAATAGTATACAATCTAGAATTTTATTTCTGTACACAAGTATGAATTGAGCAGTGTCTGTAAGTTCCTGTCTGATCCAAAATACACAATAACATTAAAGAAGCTCCTAAAAAGAAGCCCTCAATTGATGTTTTATGTAAAATGCTGAATTGTTCTTATAATATAAATCAACGATATCTCAACTGTGTATTCTCGATACATATATGGATTTTGTAAGCATAGGACCCGAAGATTTCTTGAATATCAATAGATTATCATAGATAAATTCCCTTTTTAACGTCTTAATATATATAGAGAGAGAGAAAGAGAGAGAGAGAGCCAGCGCATGTTCGACGGCTGTTCTTAAGAGAACTGTGAGTACTGTAGTACGCTGTATATGAAAAAATAATGTCTTATTAAAAGAGATGAGCCGACAAACGTGCCCTCATACAATTTTACAAAAAAAAGAGCTTGTTTAAAACAAGCTTGCTTCCATTGTTATGACTGTATTGACTTTGGTTTAACCTTGACTGACCAGTTCAATATTATAATTCATTATGCGATGTCCAGCTGCGAGTGCACTTGTAAATACAATTATTCTAAAACGTGACCTCGGTCTAATTCAGGACTGAGAGCGTGTTTTGTTGATCTGCCAACTGCAGAATTGAGCAAGTTAAATTTGTTGTTATAATTAAAATCTTTTAATTTCATTTTAACATCGCTGTAATTGTCGTAAATGAAATATGGAGATAACGAACAGTATTTAAGCTCCATTAAAACAATACAAATCGTGCGCAGAGCAAACACGGACCTCAAAAACTTCAGAGGTGGGATCAGGTGCCATGGAGGAGTGAGCATCCCCTGCCGCCGTGTGCTCCTTGTCATGATCAGGAAATAACGGGAAAATCCGTCGACAATTCAGTGTGTAAATAATGGCCTAACAATTAGTATGAAAAACTAAACAGTCAGCATATGGCTTAATGATAGATTGTATTTGCTGACAAGGTCCTTGTATCGACCATAGAACTTACGAAATGATGACTTTAATCGAGACTATTGATATTCTTGTTAACTGATACTACACATATTCGAATTGAGAGAGAGAGTGAGAGAGATGTCGACATGACGTAGCTGAAGAACTGTAGCTCTCTGGTTGAGAAAATTCGGACAGACAAACCAGAGAATTCGTATTCGGCCATTCTGACGTCCATGTTGGGGTCTTGGTAAAATAACACGCCCGAGTTTACCTATAATTTCTTTTTTACATACATATTGCATTCTTTTATAGACGATCTAGATGGTATGTGACCCCCCCCCCCCTCAAAAAAAATTATTTAGATTTTCTAAGCAAGTGATTGTTCTTTATTAGACGTATTATACCACGACGCCAACTTGCACGTCGTAATTCGAATTTTTAAAAACTGATATTCCAATGCCATATAGGGCTGTTTGAAACGGTAAAGTAACAAGATTATTTGTAAAATATGGTTAATTAACGGAGACTTTGCTTTTGGCGGGGGAAGGCACATAATACAAGAAATAATACCCGAAGCGAGCGACCAAAAAAAAAAAAAAGAAAGAAAGAAAAAGAAAGATTAAAGCGGCGACGTAAATCGAAGGTTTTTACAATGCTTGGACCTGTAGCTCTGTAATTTTCTCAACCAGAGAGCTATAGTTCTGCAGCTCGACATGGCGCTGATAGATAGCTCCGCCCCTGCCTCCTATTATTGATTCGGTGACCTAAAAACCACTCCAGGTAGATATCAAATTCCGGACGGAGACACTATGTATCGTTCCTTCAGTTCTGATTCAAGACACAAATACATTGCTTCTTTAAAAATGTTTTATTATCATGTTTATATCAATCTTGCTGTTGTGTGTAAAATATTTTGTGCTCACTTCATTTACAGCTTGGTAGAGGAATTGCAAAAAGACCCAAAATGGGACGTTGAGTCCACTCATTGTAATATTATGCACAGGTGTTTAAAGAAATACTGAGAGAGTCTGGGTAATGACGGGTTGTTTAAACAGTAATAAACACTTCACAAACTGATCTTTTTGATCCGATCTCGATCAAGAGAGCTGAAGTTATCTCCAAAATGACTTTATGTCTAAAAGCAAAAGTAAATATAAGTTATTAAATTGAATTAGAAATAAATCTTTAAATGAAATTGTGTTCAAATAAACACATGCATGAATTTCCATTTTCTTTTCGACTACTGAATTATGTATATATTTCAACTGAAGGGCCATGACTTCTTTCAAGGAGAGATCGATACATGTACTTAAGAAGCTGTGAAAATTTGTGCGGGTCACCTAGAATCACTGGGCCAGAAATGATGAAACTTACATGAATGATTCCCGACAAAGTATAGATTCGGATTTGTTAATTGGTATGATGGTGCCACAAAAGAGGATTAAAGTTTTTCATGGGATTATATTGGAAAATACCTTTTAAAATCTTCTTAGGGACAGCAGGACCATGGTATCCGTAGACAATTCAGAGTGAAAATAATAACCTAACAATTTGTATGAAAGACGTCAGTCAACATTCGACCCAACAACAGATATATTTGCAAGCAAATCATTGAATCGACCATATAATTTGCGAAATCGTAACTTTAAACATGATTGTTGAAATCCCTGTATCATCAACTTATTTTTCAATGTCCCGTCTCGTTAAAAAAAATCGTGCGTAGAATGAAAAAGATGGAGATAACGAACAGAAATCTATCTTTAAAAAAATCTACAAAAAATACAAATCTGTGAATAGGGCATAAAACATGGAAATTCCAGAGGTGGGATCAGGTGCCTAAAAGAAGTAAGCATCCCCTGTTGACAGGTCACGTTCGCTGTGAGCCCTAACTATTGATCGGGTAGATGGAATATTTCATACTCAAATTTAGTATAGATACAAAGGCCTTACAATTAATATGAAACACGTCAGCCAAATTACGACCCAATGATAGGCTATATTTTCTAACAAGGTCATTATAACGACCATAGAATTTCGAAATGCTTACTTTTAAAGAAGTTGTTGAAATCCATGTAACATCAAATTTATATGTTAGTAGCCTGCCTTTGGTTTAAAAATTGATTACTCAGAACATGCTCTTGAGTATCCAATAAGTTGGGAGACATAAACACCATATGCAGGTGATAATAATATATTGCTACATAAATAAAGGAAGTTGACGATAGAAATTTTGAATTAAGTCATCACGTGCACATTTATCATAAAGTTTAGTTGTCAGTTTGCCATCAAAGTCTTCCTCTTGTAAAATGTCCAAATATAAAACAGATATGTAAGATTTTGTGGTGTCTTTTACTTTGAATACAATGGGATATATCCAATCAACCTATGAATGAAACTGAACATTGTTAATTGATAAAACATCGTCGATATACATCTAAATGTGGAATTGAAGGCCACAGCAAAAGACCTTATTTCAATATAGAAGTTTTTGAAAGAAGATTCCGCTTTATATGAATACATATAAGTGCATATTGATTTCTTTGGTCACAAAGTGTTGAAAAGTCGTATTGTTTGATGCTATTGATTTTGGAAACATTTTGTAGTTTCAAATTTTCTAAAAGTTCTTTAAGTATCCTCATCTTATTAAAATCAATTCTCTAATACGTCGTCGTTGTACAGTACTCCTGATGTTTCTCCTTCACTACCGTTCATATTTTCATGAGGAGTAGAGAGGTTTAGCGGAGCATTTACAAGAACCCGCTATGTATCTTTGTTATTTTTTTTTTTTTTTTTTTTTTTTTTTTTTTTTTGAAGTTTAGGAATCCAGTATAGGTATGGAAATTGAAATTTAATTTCGTTGTTGGGAACACACACACACAAAAATTAAAACTGAAATGTGATTTTGAAGAATTTCCTCCTTAGAAAGGGAACTACGAGTATAATTGGATTACAACTTGTAGAGATAAATCCAGTTCTTCTAAGATGCAGTTTTAATAATGAGCCTCGCAGACTATGTTGTCACATGCTTTGTAAGCTGAAACAAGTGCATATTGATCATATAATCTATATAATTCTTTTTTCACTTCTGAAACATTGAAGACAGAAGGATAGGTGGTTTTCAAATTACCCCTTAACATTTAATGCTTGATTTCAACATCCATCATACTTTTAATTCATTTTGACAAAGTGTCATGGTCTTCTTTTTCATATATGATCCATCGTGTGGCATAATCTTCAACAGAATTCATAATATTTATGAAAATCGTTAGTTAAAAGATCGGGGTTCCAAAAATGTTGGCTCTTTTGAAATAAGTGATTAAAGGTCCTCATTGTCAACTATATTTACGTCACCAGTTATGACGTGTGACGGTGTCCAGCAGGGCTACAGTTGTAGGATGAAGACAAACATGAACAAATAGGAGGATTATGTTTCAGACGTTCGATATCTAGGCACTGTAGAGCTTCTTTTATTATAATTAAATTTGGAATTAATGGTCAATGAATATTTGTAAGAAATACGAAGTGTAGGCTTCAACTTAAAATATGGTGGAATACAAGACTGGGCCCTTTTAAGATTAAGAATATTACTAATGTTTATGGCATCAATTCCTTTGTAAGTTTAAAAAACAGACGTGTCTCTTGAGAATTCTTTTTTCCGTGAAACGTGGAGGCTTAAAAATCCTGTGATTGGCAATATCCATAATTACAGAATCCAGCCTGTATTCTGGTGTTGAAGAATCCAAGTATGGTCTTTCTTTAGCCTTTTCATTTGAGTAAAGTGTAGTGCGGATGTGATACAGATCTAACTGTTTATTGACGTAACGAATAAGTGAGTCAAAAGAGACGCCATATGTATTAGCTTTAATGTAAGACCAGTGCTAGTGGATTCACTAGCCATGCTAGTGGATTAGTGTTCGAATTTGTCATGACTCCTACGGGTTAGAATGGGGCCAAGCTATGGGATCAAAATTTTCATGTAAACAAAGAGGGGGTGGTCTTTCAAAGAACAGCAGGACCAATGTGTCTCCAGTTTGCGTTTTGGCCCATGGACTCCATCTTTATAAATATGATATTATATCGCAGTAAGATAATTAATTTATATATTTTAACATTGAAACAATCAAATATTTCGCCATAATAAAAGATTTTACATAAATGTAATGTTTCATTCTCAAAAACATCAATTTTAAACTAAGAGAGGTTGTTTTTCCCTCTTTAGTTCCATTAGCGCTGGAGGAGTCGTTGCTCTGACGAGATACAAGGTTGAGGTCTGTGGATTCAGCATCCAGATGAGTGACTACAGAATATGTTTCTACTTTTTTGCTGGTTGCATGGTTTTCACTTTCATTGCTGCGCTGTTGTATAAATTTCCGGTATTTTTTTTACATAGTTATACATACAATTTTTACGTGAATAGCCATAGTCACTTGATATATATTACCAATGTAATCAGAGTGACATTTTGTTTTGATTTATACATGTATATGTTAAAACATTTTGCAACATTTTCTTTAAAAATATAATTCAATTGTTTTTCGAAATGTTCATTGTTGCAAAATTTACGCTGTGAAACTGAGACTTTAACGATGCATCATTTTTTAAAATTTTATTTATCAATTTATTTTTTAATAGAAACAACAAGAAGAAAAATCCAACGGAAAACCCATTCCAGCTGTGATGGGGACTTTTAAGCTATTCTGCTCTATACATTACGCCTCCTGGTTATTTGTTGCATTCTTCATGGGTGTATCCAACGGTCTGATATGGGGCTTTTTATACTGGCACTTGGAAAATATAGGTGAAAAATTATTTACCCAGTCGGGTTTCAGTCACATTGCAATGTGTGAAGAACCATATTTGAATGAAAATTGATACAATATACAGTATGTTCGTGTTAGAACAATTCTATTAAATTTCTTTCAAGCTGTTGTACACACATAAACTTTTAGAACAGCCATATGTTCTGGGGAAAAATATGTTTAAAAGCAAGGACATATGCAACGTACCTTACCTACTGATAATTTTTCAAGATATTCTTAATATAAGATTATAGTGCCATCAGATGTTCGTAGACAAAAAATCAGCATGCATTACCAGGGGTTTTGAAAAGATATCAATTGATGAAAATTCTTGTATGATTCAAAGAAAAATATACAAAAATTACTAAGCATATATTCTATGTATTTTGTTTATCCAAACTTGTTTTAGAAGAAGTGTATAACAGCATATATAGACATGAAAATATAGCACACAGTTCCTTCAAGTATTGGAACTCTTCAACTCCATGGGAAAAGACAATAAAGTTCAAACTACGTTGCGTATGTCCTTAATTTTATATTTTGGATCTCTTGATAGATATTATATATCGAATAATGAAATAGTATACGTAGTATACACTCCTCCAAGGCACCTGATCCCACCTCTAAATTTTGAGGTCCGTGTTTGCTCCAATTTTGTATTGTTTAATGGACTTTCGAGATTGAATACTTTTCGTTCTCTTCATATTTCATACATGAAGATCATACTAAGCAATAACTTTTAAGTACTAAAAACGTCTGAAAATCTTATCTTGTTCAAAATTATTCTTTTTTTAGTTTCTGAACCCTCTTTTTATCTTGTTAGGGGCCACCCAATTCTTGGTAGGCATTGGATCCGTGATAAGCTGTACCTCAGAGGCGGTGATGTTTTTAGTTATATTCTACGTTTTTAGACATATATCATACTCGACCTTTATGGTATTAGGACTGCTGGGATATGTTTGTAGATTCTGTGTGTTTGCATCCGTCACAAATCCTTGGCTAGTCCTACCAGTAGAAATATTTCAAGGTTTGTATTGTGGGAATTTCACTTTTACTCTACTTTAATCGCTTGAATTGATTTGTGCTCTTTTTTGAGTTGTTTGTATTGCGACGGCAGAGTATTCGTACGTTGGCAAGAGACAAAATCTTAGGTTGATATGGTGGAATATAAATCTTTGTAAAGGTCCAGTATTTTTTACCTGATGATCTAAGTCCACTAAGATTTTTTCCATTATTGAACAGTAATTTAAAAAAAGGATCCTACCAAATATATCCCCTTATATGTCTATACCCACATGTACTTTTATGAAGTGTTTGAGAACGTTTAAGAACGCTAATTTTAGTTATCATTGTAATTCTATTTATATAATCCAAACCTTTAGTCACACATGAAAACAAAAAAATATTCAATGTGTTTCAATTTGAATTGTATAGAAGCAATCATTCTGTCGAGTTTTATTGAATTTTTTCCCCCCAGATCTATGCTATTTCAATTTTTCATGTTATAGAGTACGTAATTATTGATTTAAACAATATTACAAAATCGAAGATAATAAAATTATATCATTGTTTTTAAGGTTGCACATATGCTGGGGTATGGAGTGCCCTGACGGCCTATATGTGTTCTGCAGTACCTCAAGAAAACTTGGCCACTATGCAGGGGATCCTCCATGGGGTCTATTGGGGTTTGGGGTCCGGATGCGGAAGTTTAATTGGCGGAATTCTGGTCCAAAGACTTGGTGCTCAAATGACTTTCTGGATATTTGCTGGAGCTTCTGGTTTTCATCTGATCTTTTTTGTCATTGTGCAAAAAGCAAGTATTTAATTTTTTTTTTTAAATTATATTATGTATGATGAATAGTGGGGTTGATTTAAAGAGAAAAAGAAGATACTAAAGGATTCTAGTTAAATCAAAAAAAGATCTGATTCCTCTCTCAAAGGGAGATAATTTTTAAAAATCGTGAAAATTTCGGACATCCGTTAAAAGTCTTCTTCTCTAGAAAGATTACAGGGCCAGAAAAGTTGAAAATTATATGAAAACTTTCTGGCATAGTGTAGATTCGGATTTGTTCACATCATTATGCTCCGTAAGTAGAGTGGAACCACTCTTGGAGATCTGTTTTATATGGAAACATATAGGGAAAAATCTTATTTTTTTCTTCTCAAGAACAACAGGGTCCTTATTAATCACAAATGTATTAATATGCAAGTGCCCTCAAATGATGTGGATTCAAGTTATTCAAGTCATGGCGGGGTGGGGCTACAATAGGTTAACAAAATTTAACAAGGGAATATATAGTAACAAACATTTTCAAGAGAAGCAAAACCACAATAAATCATTATTAATATGCAAACATTCCTTAATTTTTTGGTCTATTTTATATTTAGCTATGGGCCTTGATGTTAGGGTAGGGCTAAAATTGGAAATCAAATTTTACATAATGATAGTTAACAGGAAAGCAATTCCTTAAAAAAAAATATCAAGGGGGAACAGCAAGGTCATGTTAGTCATACTGATATTGAAGCGTCCCAATGTGAGCATTCAGTTTGGATAAGTCATCTGGGGTCAGATTTTTTATGGGAACAATGGAAAAAAACATCTTATGAAGAACAGCAAGTGCAATGTGACAGAACAGCGGGTGTCATGTGACGCAGGTGAGCCTTGTGGCTCATGGGCATCTCGCCCCCCCTTTTTTGTTATAGAATATATTTTTGTTGATTATTGTATTTTTGATGAAACAAGGATATTAACAGTCTCGTTTAAAGTCATCATTTTAAAAGTTCTATGATCGATACAATGACTTAATCAGCAAAACAATCTATCGTTGAGTTGAACGCTGACTGACGTTTGTTAGACCATTATTTAAACACTGCGTTGTCTACGGATTTTTCCGTTTTCTCGATCATGACAAGGAGCACACGGCGGGTGTGACCGGTCGGCAGGGGATGCTCACTCCTCCATGGCACCTGACCCAACCTCTGATTTTTTTTAGAGATCCGTGTTTGCTTTGTTCCCGATTTGTATTATTTCAATGACTTTTGAGCTTGATTAGTGTTCGTCATATCAGTTAATGGTCGGTTAAACAATCAATATATGAAATTAAATGACCTCGGCAAAATATTTACACTTTAGTTTAGTTTTTACCTTAATTTGACATCCCTCTAATTCTAAAAATCTTCGAGGAAAAAGGGAATGAATTTGTGTAGAAGCATTTCTTTTGTAGCTTAAATTATTAATTACATATATATCCTCATATGATAGCAACTTTAAAAAACAAAATGATTTTAAATCAAAGATCAAATAGAATGTGTCTCATATTTATATAGAAAGTTAATTTTTCTCTTGCAGTTCAGTAAAGGCGGTCCGATTGCAAAGGAAGAGTATGAAGAAATTGTGAGCTACAATCCACAGAAACAGAATGGTGCAATAGATTATGACAAACTGTCGTATCATTGACATTTTCCTTGTAAGTATTTAAACTGACAATATTTCAGATCTATCTCTGATCCAAAACTAGTGTGCATTCAGTATTGTTTCCACTAACCTTTCTCCACTATATAATTTTAGATTCTACTGAAATGTGTTATATTCTCCTTTAAGATTCTACTGAAATGTTTTATATTCTCCAATTAAACCAGTTTGTTTTCAAACATCTTTTTTTTGTTTACAGGTGTATACTTGATATTGTCAGTGTCAGAAGGTTCCCTAGAGATAATGACTCTGTGACAATGGATTTTAATGACAAAGTGTTGTGTCGTGATTATGTACAATTTCAGCAAAAACTATATTTTCATTGCCAATATGTTATTAAAAATAATGTGAAGAAATATCAAAATGTATACTTTTTAAAACTAACGATCAACTTCTATGAAAACAATAGATTTTTATTCCGGTATTAACTAAATTAAAGCACTAAAGAAACAAGCTTAAGCTCATTTATGTAATAAAAATATACAAAAATACCTAGACATTGATACTAATAAATCGAATTAATCACACTTTATATTTTTTATGCTCACCTGGGTATCATGAGTTTTTCGTTTAATTTCAATTATATTACTCCGGAGCTTGTAGCCTATTATCAACATGCATATAATCTATTTGATACCTCTTGAAGTTCAGGAGAAAAAGAAGAATTTTTAAGATGTAATACATCTTTGTCATTTAAACATGAAGTTTTCTATGCAATGTCGGGGTAGAAAACATTATCTTCTTATTTACAAGAAGGAAACTTTATTGATTTACCGATTCAATCGATTTTCAACTTGAACTAGAAGCCAACAAAAGTAAGTGTTTGCCTCTGAGGCTACTCTCCTTTGTACCCGGGTAACTAGCAAAAAAGCCACAATAGTTATTCCATAATTTACAAAAATATACTTGTATCAAATTGAGCATAACATGCTCAGGTAAGCATGCGACCCGTGGGCTTCTTATTAGTATTTCACATAATAAATTCATTACCAGTCTCATATTGAATTTAACGAAGCATGAATTCTGTTTAAGGGGGTTTTGAAAAAAACGGTATTTGTGTTTTAAAAAAGGCATTTTAATTTTCAGCTCTTAATTAGTTCACAGGATAAAATGAAAATTCTGAATCCTTATGTACATCTACAAGACACCATCAATCATTCCAACATTTGAAGAAGCTAGATCTACTGCTTAAAATTAAGAAAAATTCTTGAAACATAATTTTTAGAAAAACATCTTATTTCAGCCCCTTATTGGCCTCCTGGGTGAAAAAGGAAATGCATATCTAAAAGAAACGTTTCTTGATATTCCAAAGATAATTTGGCTATTACGTAAGGTGTAAGAGGAGTACTAAAACCTGGTTTTTTGGTTTTAAAAAAATAAGCAAAAAGGAAAATAACATTGTTTGAAGACTCTCCATTGGCCTCCCAGATAAAAATGAAAGTTTCAAATCTTACTGCATATCTGTAGGATACCACCAATCATATTTCCAAAGATGATTTAACTACTGCAAAAATTACAAGAGGAGTTCTTGTATCCAGGTTTTTATATTAAAAAATCACTTTTCAACCCCCATTTGGACCCACAGAATGAAAATTCAGAAACTTATTTCACATTTACAGAACACGAATCATATTCCTAAAGATGATTTTGCTTACTGCATAAAATGTTAGAGGATTTCTGGAACAAGGTTTTGTGTAAAGCGTTTTGCGATCACCAATTGGCCTCCAGGATAAAAATGAAAATCCAAAACTTTATTAGACATCTAAAGAACATCACAAATTGTATTTTTTAAAAAATGATTTGGCTACTGATGTCAAGGGAACTCTGGGAATCAGGTTTAAAAAAAACTTCGTTTTTCGACCCCCAGTTTGCTCCTATGATGAAAATGAAATCTCCCTTATCATCACCATTCATATTCTAAAATCGATATGTGGCTACAGCTAAAAATGTCTGAGAAGGTGAGTGTAGCAGAAGACAGAGGGACTGGAATACTAACAATATATCCGAATCTTTTTTTTTGGGGGGGGGGGGAGGAGTAGGCGGGTAAAGTAAAAAAAAATCTTCTGAAATCAAAGTGTATATTTCTAAAATTAACAAATTTAAGAATTTGAAATTTTTAATTAAATAAAAAATTCAAATTTAATGGTTGAAAAACGAAAAGAAAGGTGACCTAGACATTCCTTTTGATTCAATTTTTAAGAATTTTGGGTTCCACAAAAAAATAATAGCTCCAATACTCTGTAACTTAGATTTTATTGTGCGTAAGTTCGTACTACATTTTAGCTTCGTGTGTCGAAAAGGTTAACAATGATTTTATTTAAACTAGCAGAAAAAAAAGCGACAAACTGAACTTTGAAGATATACAATGTTTGTGCAAAGAAAACATGTAAGAAGTGTTTGGAATAGCTTTCAAAATATATATACATTTGTATTTCAAGTAGATGCTATCATTAGACTGTGATACCCGCACATACTTGTTTTCCTCTAAAATTCTTCTCTGTACCTGGGTTACTAGAAACAACAATCGTTATTCCATAATTTACATAAATATACATATATCAGATTGAACATAAAATGCAAGGTAAGCTCGTGGACCTCGGGTCCCTTGTGATAGAATTGCATACAATAAATTCATTATCATTCTGAAACTAAAGAATTCAATGAAGCATAATTTCTATAAGTTAAAGGGCAACTGATAGCTAAATTGTATGACAAACGGGAGGACTTCAGCTTTTGCATTGTCAACTCCCTTTATTTTTGTAGCAATATACCAATATCCCCTGCATATGGTGTTAATGACTCCCATCCGATTCGAGCAAGCTCTGAATACGATCAAATCTTTAACCGAGACAAACTACCGACAAATAAGTTAATGTTACAAGGCTTTCAATGACCCGGTCTATAGTCACCTTTTCGCAAATTCTATGGTCGTTATAATGATCTTGTTTCTAAATACAATTTATCGTTGGGCCGTATTTTGTCTGACATTTGGTAGGGCATTGCTTTTATTCTGAATTTGACTACAGAGTACCCCGGTTTCCTTATAGGGATCACGACGTGTGTGACCGGTTGAAACAGGGGACGTTTCTCCTCCTAGACACCTGATCCCACACCTTGTTTCGAAGGGTCCATGTTTTTGCCCTGTTCAAGATTTTTGTTTACTCGATTCATAAGATTGATCACTATTCGTTATCTTCTTTTACATTAAGAAGTTTTGGTAAAAAAAGTTTTTGTGTTAAAAGTTTAATTAATTTTTTTTTCCCAACTGAATGAAAAAGAAATTTTCCAAAACCTTAATTCACATCTACAAGACAACATCAATCATATTCTGATTTAGATACTGTGTTTATATAGTAATACAAACATTTTTAAATTTTATTAAAATAAATTAAAAGTTCCATTGCCTCAGGAATTCTAATGGAAATGTAAACAGGTACATCAAAAATGTGTGCAAGAAATTAAAATACAAAGGCACTGGTGGTGACTTAATAATTTTCAATTTTTGATACTATCTTAAACAAAACTTCCCTGATGAATGGAAAAAATCATCACACGTGCATATTACATTGCATTTTTACGTACACCTGTTGCGTATTTTTTATTGATGTATTTTTGAAAAGATTTTTGTAAATACATGTAAGTACATTTTGTACCTTCTTTTTGTAAAACATTTCATACATCCAAACACATCTAACCACTTTTTCAGAGAAAGAAAAATCATTATAGGAAGACTGTAAACGTACTTGTTTAGCGGTAACTGTGTTTAAGCGCCTTAATTTCGCGCGGTTTCCTATCGGCTTATTCATGTACACACTAATACATGATTACAACTAATATTTCGTTTTAAAATAGAAATGTGTTAATTTATGATTTTCGCTAATCGGACAAAGAGGGAGGTTGCGCTAAATTTTGAGTGCGCTATATTAGTTTATGAACGTGTACGTTTACAGTAGTTCACATAAAACAATTTGTTTGCACATAGAAATAAATATCACAGACAAAATCTTGAGCAAGAGTCTCTACCTCGGTAGATAATAGTCCAGCAATCACCACAGTTTACTTTATAGACAATGACAAAGCGATACACACTATCCTATGACTGACACATCTTCCAATGACGTTGACGCATCTTCGTATGACATTGACACCTATTCCTTGGCACCAGGGTTTATCGAAAGTTTATATGGTACACGTAGCTCAACTTCCTTTACAGAATGTGGAAATTTGATCTTGGCTATAATGGAAACTATATTTGATTTGAACTGAATTATAACTGTTAAAACTATGATAAGAGCGAGAATTCCCGCGCAAAATCCAACAACAATGGCTGCCAAATCTTTCAACTGATGTGTGGTGGCAGACGTGTCCGTGTCTGTTCCATTACCTGTTGAAATCTGTCAAAAGAACAAAAAGTCCTATCAATTGAAACAAAGATAATTTTAGTGATTGCAAGAGGAAGAACAGACAATTATACACTTCATTTTTCCTTCAGGGACAGACATTAACTTTCAGATTCACTTGCCCTTCGGGCAAGTGATCTCAAACTTTGACTTGTCCGAATGCAAAACTTGGTTGCCCAAAATTAGGATGGAACTTAAGACGAAAATTATTAATTACTGCAAACGTTATGAAAAGAAAAAATGTGACGAAATACACTACTGTCAATTTGGCAAGTTGAGCTACCGGGTACCTGAAAAAATTTCGATCTTGCGTTTGTGCATAAATGTATACCGCTGTACTTGTAAATTTAACCTGTTAACATACACTGCCATGCAGCAATAACCCTCCGTTTCCTTTAAAAAAAAAATCATATATTTGAAAATTAATTGCGGTAGGATCATTTTGTGATTCGTGATTTTCAGCGATAACTGTGAAGCAACGCTTAAGGAAGATACGGTAGTTGCTACGAAACATACATCTTACCTTGATCAGCTGGATACAACGTGTTACACTGTACTTATATTCTGTGCGTGAATAATATAATTTCATAATAAGAAGTTAACAAAATTTTGTTAGACGTAGAGTGTATTTCCTACGAAAGAAAACAACAAATTCGATTTTTATATGAACGGTATAATCCAGAAACGCTACCAAGGAATTTCGAATGCAAAACATTGTCAGTCAGGTGCGTGGCGGAAATCAAGTGTTCAATTTATTGTTTTATTTATAAATTAATGTAAACTAAATAAATATGTACATTTGTATGAGAAAAATTCACTTGCCCGATCGGACAAGTATGTCGACAATTTCACTTGCCCGAACTGAGAATTTACTTGTCCCGGGCAATAGGACAACCGTTAATGTCGATCCCTGTGACCTTGCAAATATTCACTTGATTTCGTATGAAACAAGTTTATGTTCCACAAGTCGTGGGTCTATTAAATAAAAATAAAAAGCAAGTCTTTGAATGAACTCGAGGTTTTTTTAGAAAGAAAATATTATTAACAAAGACTGAAGAGATTTTACATGTATGAACATTTTCCAATTACAACTGGACGTTATTACAAGTTTGAAAAGTTTGAGTTTGATAAATGATGAGGTCAGAGACCGAGTTAATGAAATGCAGTAGGGTCTACTGATAGAGAAGGAGGGATCCAAGATCTCTTAGGAAACAATTAAAAATGCTTTCAATGAATAAATCATCAATCGTATTTAGCATTAATAATATTAACACAATAATATTCCACACCTGATGACCTTCATAGGTCAAGTTATATCGACCTTTGTTTCCCATGACATCCTCAGCAATCAACACGGCCTCGTTCTGACAGCAACTGGTACTACAGATTCCAAAGAACATTTATTGATAATAAGGAGCCCATAGGCCACAACGCTCACCCGAATCTCTGTTCCCTTCGTAATTTACAATGGTTCCAAATGCCAAAATATAATATAAATATTAAGTAAATTATAATAAAATAATGCTGTGTTTTCTTAATTAGGTTTGTAATAGTTTGGGCTACAGGGACAGTGGATATCGGCCTAGGTGACTCGGTGGTTAGAGCAACTGACTGGTAATTCAGAGGTTTCGAGTTCGATTTTTGGTCCAGCCATCGTTTATTAGTTTGCTAATTGTGTTAAACATATTGATGACCGTTAAAACGTGCGATTTTTTTCTTAAAACGATTAAAGACAAGTTTACAGGTCACTGGCATTAAATACCAATCAGAAATTATGTATGGAATTTCCTTTCTCAAACTACAAAATGCACTGATGAGTAGATTTATTTGCAACCGGTGTGCTAACTTCGGAAAGTTTTTCTTTCATTGCCGAACATACATACATAATGTAAACTTTGATTCGTTGATTCGCCATCGAGACTCGGTGCAGCAGCCAATCAAATGATCCGCGCATATTTTAATTACAAACGACGATTTTTCAGCGAGTTTGCCCACGAGTAATGAGTAAAAGACGAGACCACCCGTGGGTAGTCTGACGATAGGTACAGTGTATAGGATTTGAGATTTTAGTGTTTTTTTTGTTGTGTGAACCGGGTTTGTCGGCCTAACCAGAATTCGGGGTCTTGGGTTCAATTCTCGGTCCAGCAATCATTTTTTTCTTTCTTGTTACATTTGGTGCAGTGTACTTAGGATTTGAGATTGTAGTGGTTTTGGTTAAGGGCGAGGACAATTTACCATTGTTTAAGGAGGGAGGATATAATAATGGCCTGGATATACATGTATAGCTGCCTCAGTAATTGGACCACCTGACTAGTAATGTAGTGCAGGGGTCCCAGTTTCGTTTCACGTCCAGCCATGAATTTTCTCTCTTCTTCCCAACGATTGACTACCGAATAGTGAAAAATCTAATGCAAACCTTATTGTGATTCCATCTGAGCATCAAGGACCATGAGTTAAACAAACTTGAACCCACATTACACGAGGATTTGACCAGTTGAGGTCCTGACGTTCTTGAGAAGAAGATTTTTACAGATTGGGGTTAGGGTGAGGACATTTAGGGGGATGAAAGTTGAACATTCCAAAAAATGTATATTTCTGGGTGAAATCCCTGCAAGTTTTTAAAATGTATTATACTCCTTTTTTCTCAGTATATCCTAACGTAAACTTTTGACCTGAGGGCTAGGGCTATGATGAATGTGTCCCATTGATGGGAAGGGAGGTGAAGAGCCGTTCATTTGAGTTAATTAAATCGAATCTCTTTTACCCAAGGACGGTCTGTTCAGTTTTAAGTTTTTCTTATAAAATGGCCCAGTGATTCGTGATAAGAAAATTCAACATAAGAATGACAGTCAACAGAAAAATTTTGATCAGCAAAATCTTGAACTTTCAGCTCAGGTCAGCTGTGACGTGTCTTTACATGTCTTATGTTCCAAACAAAAAGCATTTTTCACATGTATATACATTGTACTATTTTCATATTCAAAAGTTTTCCCAAGAAACCAGCTATATACTTAATTCGCAAGAATTGTCTTTGAAAATTGTAATATAATGAGGTCAGTACCTTATGTTTCCGTGTATTGGCACATTAGCCAAGCCGTCAGTAAAATTCTCTGTATGGACAAAGGAATGAATTGTGTCCTCTGCCATCACGCGGTGTACCCCGGACTCGTTATCTTGGATCATAAACACAACCACCCATTCTCCTATCTAAATTGGAAACGGTAAATGCTAGCCAAAATTCGTGTATTGTACAAAAAGTAGATTTACTGACATAGAACATATTAAAGACTCAGGGTCTGTGGTCTATGCTGTGAAATTAAAGAGCGATAACTTTCTGATTGTCATATTTTAATTACTACACCAAAGTTGTCTTGTCATTTAAAATTTATTGCCAGTCCATACCGAACACCTGACGTTTTTGTAACATCTGTCGATAAAGGACAGTTTGCTGAATGCTGGGGGAGATACATCAGCTTCTGGACTACTGCCAATAGTACTCCTTGTCCTGTCTCCAGTCCACTGAGAAATTGTTGTTACGGAGGCAAAGCTTGTGGTCGTGACAACGGTATCATTAGATACTGTAACCATTGTGCTTTGATATGACGTCATCTTCTGTGTAATGAAAGATGTGGGTGTGCTCTTTCTTGAAATTCCATCAGGTGACGTCATCACATCTGATTTTGAAGAAGGTGAGATATTGGATGGTTGCACAACCAATGAGACTTTAATAAATTCTACACTGTGATTGGTTCCTTCTACACTTAAAGTTACGTCACTGGAAAAAAAAATAAAAAATTCGTGGCACATACTAAAATATGAATATTTGATTTAAATATTGATTTTGAATGTACAGCTGTGCGTGGGAAATCATAATTGAGATAAAGTTTGAATTACAATTGAAAGGAAACATTGTATTCCTCAATTTTCATTCATAATTACAAAATATTTAGAAAAAACATTGAGAAACACAGAATTTCCGGTTTATTTCAGTGCAATCTTTTCTCTATGCTTTAAATGATTTTTTTCTATACATAACGATTCTACAAGATATATCCTATTTTTCCAAATCTCAACATTAACAATTACCGGTAGAGTAAGAAGATTTTTCCTCTTCCTCTGTATTCAAGTTTTTATTCATGAAATGGAATTATGGAGAACAGTTGATTGACAATCGGATTGCGTGATATTACGACCGATCGATGAAAAAAAAATATTTGGATTCCTTGCAATAAGCAGAATATTTGCATTCGGTGTGACAAAAACTAAATGTTATTGCGTGCGCTTCCTTCTCTTTTATTAAAGGGCTTAAAATATCTGAGAAAATCACAACTAAGTCCAGTGATTCTTTAATGCACAGTGTCAGTTAAGCTTTACTAAATTAAGATGACAGATATGGAGTTCTTGCTTGTAAATAGTCAGATTGATCTCCTGCTTCATTTGTTTTCAGAATATTTGTTCTTAATAAAGAGCAAAATTCTCTTCATCAGTCAATTAAACCTATCTTTGCAGTCACCTTAATTGATTTCTTTAACATTTACATTCCACAAATGTCTGCATTGTAAACTTCGTGACAGATCTATAGTTTCATTTTACAACAGCATCATAAATCAGATCTTTCCGGTGCTGGTTCTAAGCTACAGAAAACCTATATTGTGACAGGTATGGTTTGGCGGTGATTAAAAATGATTTTTTTTGTGTGCAATTTCTGGAGCTATAAATTAAACAGCTGAATATGGACGTTTTCATATCACGCTATTTTAAAATGTGAAATCAAATGTACATGAACCCACACGCTTGGTGATTTATAGTGCACTTTCTAAGGCAAATTATCATTCATTGCCTATAATAAATATTATCAAATTCGCAAATTATTATTTACGAGTTAAAGGAGGCTGGGCATCATGCCATGTCAATTATACATTTTCGGAGGACTAATTTCAAAATCAGTAACAAAATGATCATTACCAGTTTGAAAATGTACATGCCAAATGTATCTTTTAGGGGTACATCTTTTTTAAAAAAAAATGTTAGAAAAGATGCATGGCTCTTAGAAAGAAGTACTGGCTCTTATGTACTTCCATTCTGGACAAAATAATACTGTAGATATCCAGAGACCAATTAACACTCGAACAAACTCGGTCACTGATAATTTTAAAATACTATAGTAAACATAGTAACATACCAAGAAGACCCTATGGCGGATCGAGGAGATATAATGACGTCAAAAGCTCCATATTGTTTGGTGAAAGCAGGGATTTGAACTTCACTTCCAGTCGTGGCATTGCTCGCAAACTCCTTATTCGAAAATTGCAAAATGAATACTAGTATATTATTATACCTGTATATCATAGCTGCATTGCATTTTGATATATTGCCATAATCATGTGGGGGTTTTGCAAGTTTGTAGATCTTTTACGTTCCTTAATTAAAAACAAGGCTAACACAGAAGTTAAATGTAGAAATATATTTATATATAAACATGCACTACTTCTTGGTATTTCATTTCATGATTTTTTTCAGAAATTTAATCATTTTAATATAATAATTTTAGACTTTGCTTCATCTATACATTCAAAGGCAAACTGAAATATACTAGAAAGATGCAATAAATAAATATACCCTATCATCACTTTTCTTCTTTGAAAAAAAAAAAACTTTTCAAGTATACACTGTCAAAACTTACATTTGGATTAAATGAATCCAGTATGACTCGTACGTTGAAGGTTTGGTTCCTATCTATGTTGTTATATAAACTGTACAGAAACACGACATTGCTTCCTGGTGAGGTATCTACAGAAAGTTAAGTATCTGCGCTGAATCGATTAAAAGAACTGCTAATTAATTAATTTATTTTCATTATTTCCTCTCGCTTTTTCACATAGCACTTGAAAGGTGTTATGTGAAAATATAATACAATTTAATCGATAGTTTAGACACTCATAAGGCTATGACTCATTCTGAATTTTGTATACTGTAAAACACTTTTTACTGTAAAACACTCTTGATTTTCGCAATAACGCGAGTCTGCCTGTTTGCGAAAATTTCATTCTCGCGTATATTTGTATTGTAAAGGATTATATACAATAAGCACAACTGCTCGCAAAAATTTTATTTCGCTTATAAATACCAGATATTTATCTCGCAAAAGTATTGTGAAGTGTGCTGCACATCAGATAAAGTATTAACATTGGAGAAATCGAGTAATTTCAGACAATACAAAATATTCTAGGTTAATATACTTAAATCATGCAGTTCGTTTTCAGGAACTTTAAAAGTTCAAACTATCAGTGAAAATGTCCTAAATCTGCATTACTATATCTTTCGTAATTTCAGAAATTGACAAGGTAAATGTCCTAAATCTAAATCACTATGTAGGTCAAAAAGTAACGTCAAATCAATTTTCTAACGTCACGTAATCTAACGTCATTTTGACGTTACCGAAATTGACACCAACATCGTGCGCGACGTCTATGCCTTTCGTAATTTGAGAAATTGACACGGTAAATTTCCTAAATCTGCATCACTATACCTTTTGTAATTTGAGAATGTCCTAAATCTACATCACTATACCTTTCGTAATTTGAGAAATTGACACGGTAAATGTCCTAAATCTACATCACTATACCTTTTGTAATTTGAGAAACTGACACGGTAAATGTCCTAAATCTACATCACAATACCTTTTGTAATTTGAGAAACTGACACGGTATATGTCTTGGGTCGGATCACAGAACTCTGTCTATGGACGGTATTATTCTTTTTGTCTCTAGCTATCAGACCGACACGGAAGGCCTAAAAGATCAAATGGCCACTGTTAAGAGTTTTTGCTATTAGAGTCTCAAACCAAATTAATAATGATTGACAAGTTCCAATTTTAAAAAGACATTGATAACTACATGGAACCATTACACCAACAACAGAACAAAGGACATTGATAAAAACATGGTACCACTTCACCAGTCGGAGAAGCAAAACAACTTACCTGATCTGGTACAGTAATGACCACCTCGTAAAAATTGTGTTGTCGTCCAGCGCCTAACTTTGATACATTGTAAATATCAGCAAACCCATTCAAGCAAATAATTTCAACATTGGAAACCAATTGTAGATCTTCACTTCCAGAAACCTCAACACCAAGGGTAACATTGCTATCTAAAAAACATTGTTGTTTTTTTTTTATTTAAAATACTAAGATTTATACATATGCTTAACCAATTGCTATACACTTTATATACAAATAAAACAATTTTCAATACCCCAAAACTGATGTTAAACATACTTTATATGTAATCAAACAAAAATCCCATGGGCCACAATCCTCAGTAGGTCGCAAGATTTTTTTTTATATTCCTATGCAACACGTTGGACATTTTTGTGGCCCATCTCATTATAGCCATAGAGATTACAGTAGGGAAAGAAATTTTACCTTGAGAATAATGCTTTCAGCGAAATTGTATCTGTACTTAAATGGGCATACTTGCACATCAATTTAAATTACTAAAGTCTTGAGAAGATTTTAATATCTTGTTTAAAGTCGACCTATCTCCAATTTTATGATGTTATAATACCTTGTTTGTAAATAGCAAGTATACCGTTGAGTACGTATTATGGCTGAAATACAAAATCTTTTGTTCTTGTATACAATCTTTACATGTATTCCATTGAAAATCTTAAACACCCTATCGTATGCCCACCCTGGCCCATGTCTTCGATAATTATAGAACAAAAAACTTGATTAAACACTGCACACGGACGTTAATTTATGTTGGATCAACATTGCACGAGGACGTTTACGTTGGATCAACACTTCACAGGAGCGTTTACGTTGAATCAACATTGCACGAGGACGTTTACATTGGATCAACACTGCACAGGGGCGTTTATGTTGGATCAACATTGCAAGGGGACGCTTGTGTTTAAATTTAACTTAATGTGGTCCAGTTACTCTCGAAAAGTTTTTTTTTTTTGCTTCAGAATGTTTCCTTTGTATTTCTACATGTATGACCTCCTCCCTCCCCCGCCCCAACTCTGACCTTTGCGACTATGAAATTTATAGTCCCTGGGGATACTCACAAATTTGACTTTTTTTTTGTCGTACTTTTCTTGAGAGGTTGAAAATCTTTTTTTATCTCCTTCTACTTATTCCTGAGTGAAAATATTGACCCCATTTGTGATCCAAACTTTATCCTGGGGACCATGATCTTAACATGCTTGAATCTTAATTACGTGGAGGTGTATATATGTATATAAAGCTGACTGTTATTCTCCTGTTTTGGGAAGATTTTAAAAAGAATTTTCCTATATATTCCTATATAAATAATCCTATATAAATCGACTTGATTTGAAACAACATTGAAACTACATGTACATTATTATATTAGGATGCTTTTATATTCTTTTTTATAGTCAAAAAATAAATCCTGAAAGGAAAAGATTTTTCGATGACCATGCGCAATAGCTTTTTTTATCGATTTTATCCCTTGGAAAAGTAGCAAAGCCCTTCGTCTGAACAAACATAAAAGTTTTCAGGCACGTAGCATTTATGATAAACGTGTAACTTCAACTTTCCTATCGTCAACTTCCCTTACTTATATAGCAATATATCCTTATCACTGTATATGGGGTTTAAGTCTCCCAGTTGATTCGACACGCAAAAGCATGCTCAACGTACGATCATTTTTTTAAAACGAAGCACGCTATTAGCCAACAAGTTGATGAAACAAGGATATCAACAGTCTCGTTTGAAGTCATCATTTCGCAAGTTATATGATTGATAAAATGACCTTATCAGCAAATTAATACAATCTATCATTAGGTCAATGCTGACTGACGTTTTTCATACTAATTGTTAGACCATTATTTACACTGACATTTCTACGGATTTTCCCGTTTATTCGATCATGACAGAAATTACGTGGCGGGTGTGACCGGTGTCGCATAATATTTGGTCCGCCTCGTTTAAAGGTCCGGGGGGACCTAATACGATAACATATAAGGTCCGCCTTTTATAAGAAAAGGTCCGGCCCGTATAAGAAAAGGTCCGCCGAAGTTTAAAGGTCCGGGTGGTGCAAAATGTTTTACTCTTGACTTAAACACATAAAATTAAAGAGAGTTTGTTCATATCATATGAAGAAAGATTAAGGATTTACCCTAGCTGTTGTGTTTATTTTTTGTACAATATATCTCTTAGGACAGGAATTGCTACTCCATGTTTAGTGTGCTTTTAGCAATACCGTTTAGGGCAATGATTTTAAAAAAAATGTCGCATTTATTGGGCTTGTGTTTGTTTTTCCCCAGCATTTGCTTTGTGTAAATTAGGACGATTAAAGGTGTGAAATCTGCCGGTGTGTATAGGCAATAAAACAATGGGGGTGTGAAGTATTCGTATACCTGACAGGTACCCGCAGGTAGAGCCCGCGGCAGATAGCAATGACAATGTAATGGTCATGTGTTTGCTTTAAATCAATAGATATGAATTCTCTATTTTAATAAATTATGCTGAAGAACAAATTATAATACTATTATGATATTCATGCGTACACATCAAAATTGTGATATAATTATATATAGTCTATTTTTATTACAATATTTAAAGAAATTTCTTACTCCAATTGTAGAGTTTAATACTAAGACCGATAAAAAATAAAAGTATGTATATGCTTCCCTTTAGTTTTAACAATTAACTTGTTTTCAGTTTATAATAATATTTTGCCCTTTATTTGTGGATAGGGTAATATATAGCCTAATGTTGTATTCGATCTGTATTTACTGCAGAAACAAAATACATGTAATGTTAAAGCTTAAAACAGGTAATTCAATATTGAAAACATATACATCAGATTTAAAGTATAATCATGGTTTGGATTTAATTCTTTCTTATAAAAATATCACTCTTCCTCGTCATAATGAACTACACATGAAATAATATTTCATTTTTGTATTTTTTTTTTTTTTGCCAAAAGAAAAAGAAAGAAGAAGAAATTACACATTTTACTGTGACTATAATAGACAGACTGTGGGATAATCTAGCAGGCTGTATTGCATGACCGATTAAAATTTGAAATCATTATTGTAAAATATTTTCTTTTATTACCGACATGAAGCATTTTGGTCAAAGTTGAATGTCCAGTTCCATATACAAGTCATTTATGTATCTCACGTCTGTATAAACGGGGGAAGGGGGAGGGAACATCAGTTGATCCTCTTCCTTTTTTGCGTATCAAGGAATTTCTATTTTCTACATTAATTTGAGCTATAACCCCCCCCCCCTCCCCCAATCACCCAGAAATATACTGATTGTTTCTGGGGACGTTGTCAAGCGTGCGTCATATTTCCCATTTCAAGCTACATGATATGTACATTTTCGTGATGTCGACCTTTAAGCGTTTCAGTCTAATTTTAAATCAAAAATATATTTCTTTTATAAAACGCTGATTATTTATGATTATTTATTTTATTCATTTATGGAAAGTGGCAACTCACGGTTATCCGGAGAAAAAAAGGTAATTCATGGGGTTTTCCATCATGAGAGTCCAAGCTGCAGACAGCTCAGTATTACGTTACGCTACAACTCCATACCAAGTAGTCCCGGAGAATTGACACTGTATGGAGTATGACTGAGAGTCATACTCCACACTCTCCGGGACTTGTTTCCCTACGAATAATGATATGGAGTAATACTGAGCTGTATGGAGCTTGATTGAGAGTGATCTCCCGTGTAGAATTTTCTACGCGGTGAAAACCAATAAAGTGTATTGTTTAGTACCACTCATCTTCCCAAGTCAAGGGTTTTTGATCCGCTCCGCTCCACATATGTTTAAGTGGAGCGGAGCGGATCAAAAACCCTTGACTTGGGAAGATGAGTACCACTACACCTGCTCAAGAGTTTTTGAAAAATTCTTTACGAAAGCTAGGAACTTTGCCAATCTCCTTAAATTATTCTTTTCGAAGTCCTCAGTCATTCTCCGTGGTAACCATGGAGGAAATAATACAATCGGTCTCATGTAGTCATGACAGAATTTTTGAAGTTCGATTTTCATAAATGCTATACATTGCACATATGTTGTTTCGGATATTACCTAACAATTTTGAATAATGATTATACAGGCGCGGATCAAGAATTTTTCCAGGGGGGGGGGGCGGGGGGGGCATCCCAATCAAAAAAATTTCTAACCCAAAAATTTCTTGTCAAGGAAGAAAAAAAAAGTTTAATCCAATTCCATTTCCAAAACGTGAAAAACACCTATTTCGTGGTGGTGATGGTAGGGTCCACGTTTTCTAAGGGGGCCCAAAGTGCTTTTTTATTTACTTCAGTATATACTTTTAATAACTCTGCAAATTCCAGATGGGGGGGGGGGCGACTCCTTTCTTATTTTTAAGGTGATTATTTTCCCAATTCATTGTATGAATGCAGAAACAAATACTCCCTCTTTTTCATGCTATATGAATCAAAGTCTATAGATACGGATACAGTACAACTAATGATCATTCTAACATAACATTTTTGTGATATACATGGATAATAAATCTGAACGTATCTTTTGATTGTATGTGGTGAATATATTCTCGATAAATATACATTGTACTACCATTATACATTCAGATTCGTCACTGCCTTTTATAAAAGAATCGTCCTACGATTTTCCAAGACCTTGACATAAAATAAGAGGCCCATGGGCCACAACGCTCACCTGAGTCAATAAGGCCCTGCTGTTTTTCATCAGTAAATTTATTCTAACATATCTTCCAATGTAAAACATTAATCACTATTGTGACCCCACCCTACCCCAGGTGTCATGATTTTTATAGATATAGCGCTAGCCCCATCCTACCCCTCGGGGTCATGATTTAAACAAACTTGAATTTACACTACCTCAAGATACTTCTATATCAATGTGACTAAACATGGCTTTGTTGTTCCTGAAAAAAAGGTTTTAGAATATTTTTCCTACACATTCACATGCTAAACCCTGATAGTGCATTGTGGCCCATCCTACCCCTAGGGGGTCATGGTTTGATTGATTAGGGCTTAACGCCGAGTCGGCTATATTTCAGCCATATTCCGGCGGAAAATTAATTTTATATGACCTGTTATCATGGTTTAAACAAATTTGAATCTACAATACCTGAGGATGTTTCCATATCAATCTGAC